AGGATATCACTTAAAGAAGCGCCCTTAAAGAAGCGGCCTTAACCCGTCCTGTTCGACGCAGATACTCCTGCAGTCAGCACTTTTACTCGTAAATAAACGAAAGTTCCTGAAGTCGAAGTTCTGACTCTGAAGAAGTTCAGAGAAAAGTTTGAGGAACTGTTTTAGACTCGAACAGTTTATTCCTAAAGAGAGTTTTAAAGTGAGACTCTACGGATTTTAAACTTAAAAATAGAAAAAAAGTAAAAATTCTTAAAAAAATCTTAAAGTTTAGAGCAAAATCAGATCTTCGCTTCATGTTATTATGACCAGAAAAAAATCCACACCAACATTAACATCTCAATATTTATGGTGAACTTTAAAAAAACAACTTTTCCGGTCAAAGAAAAGAAAGAAAAACTAAAATGCTGTGCGTCACTTTTAAAACACTTTTAATTTTCTTAAATGTCTTTTTCTGTTTCCAATGATGTTTAATGTTTGTTTTAATGTGTCATTTACAAAGACAGTAACTGAGATAATAAAATTAAATTCTGCTTAAAGTAAAATTAACTTTAATCCATTAAAGATAAACTGAAGTTAGTTACGTAAAAAATCAACAGAGGTTAATACTGTTTAAAATTTACTTAAGTCTGTTCTCTTATAAAAATTGACTGAAATTAAGTTTTAAATCTGATTAATTCATTTAAATTCATTTATTTATTGTGTTTGTATTCATTTTTTAAGACTTTATCTATGAATTTATGTGAAGTTTAGTTGTTTGTATTTTGGTGTAGTGGGGTTAAAGTTCACCTATACAAATATCATGCATGCATGGTGAAACGATTCAGGCTGAGACGGTCGAGCCAGAAACATAGACATATAAGCAGTAGATTGTGTCCTTCCAGAGGAGGAAATCTACTTCTAGACTTCTAGAATCAGCATCTCTTCATCCATGGTGTCATCGGGGTGAAATGACGTCTAAAAACCTTTCACTTGTTCGTCTCCGCCCGTTTGCATGGTGTCCTGAAAAAAATAGAACTCTTGTGATCAGCTGAGGAGTCCGGTGATCCGCAGAGGAACGGAAAGAAACCGGTGGAAACTGACACGTTAACTTGAACGGTTACGATCAGCTACGATATCGGATTGGGTGTTAGTAGACCACTAGAGCTCAGATCCATCTTAGTGAGTGTGAGTTAAAACTCAGACAACATTTCCTCGTTTTAAAGAAACTGTGAAAATGTTCAAAGTCACAGGCCGAACACTCGTGTCCTTCCTCACAAGGTCAGAACAGAAACAGACGATGTTTTTATAGCAGTTTGGATTCAGGTGTCAAAGGTCACCATGGTTGAACTTCCTTTAACCCCGGAGAGTAAAACCACTGATGACAGAAATCCCAAAGAGCTTCGTCTGTCATGGCCGCAGCTACAAAAGCTTAAAGGACGTTTTTCTAAACTTTCTTTGTTGTGATTACGATCTCTTTGTCAGCAGTATCATCTTCCCATCGGTGCAGTGTGAAGTTCAGATGTCTCCGATTGATTACCTAATAAGGTTTATTAATCAGATCTAAAGCGGTCAGATTTCCCTCTGAGTCTGATCCGGAGTCAGCTCGTCCTCCTCCTCCTCCTCTTCCTCGGCAGGATTGTAATCAGAGTCCAGAGGCTGAACATACAGAGCTGCTCCGCGTCTGCTGAATATGTAAAGCCTTATTGAAGCCCCGCTCCAGCAATTTCTCTTAATTATGGAAATAATCAGATTGAAGGAAAGGAGAGGCTCCTCTTATTGGATTATCTGAGACGATCCTCCAACAGTAACCATCTCCTCTTCTCTATCTGCCTCGCTCCGTTCAATTCACCTCCGTTCAATCAGCTTTATTGGCACAAACGTTCCCAAACAATATCTGCAACGCAAGGAAGCGCAATAAAGGTAATTATCAATAATTCAGATATCAATATTCACAGTCACAGTGATTGAATGAAACAACAACAAGAGGAAAGAAGAGAACCTGGATTTCTGTTTGTCCCACACTTTGATTCAACAGTTTCAAGAGCGTCTTTAGATTAAATTTGTTTTCTAGCTGCTAAAAATACAAATAAAGTTTTTTTTTCAAGCAGCAAAATGAATTTAATTCTCACTAAATATCAGGATCGGAGTTTGTCTCAGTGTTGTGGTGATTTAACAACATACAGAATTACAAAAGTGTAGAGATATTTTTAAAGAAGTAAAAACTTCCTATTAACAGAAAAAGATACGGAGATTAAAACTGTATCCTGGGAACAAGAGCTGAACGAAATAGCTCCAGTATCGGTATGGAGACCTGTACGTTTCTGCAGGAAAGTGCAAACTGTGGCTGTTTATAAATGACACAGAGCCCAATATAACAAACTGAGTCCTGAGCGCATTAATGTTGCAAATTAATCTGATTATTATGGGGATTTAAGATGGTAGATAACACTTAGAGAACATGTCGCATTTTTTTAATCTGGATTAACATTTAAATTAAAACCAGGAAATTATCAGACAAATCGATTAAAAATATTTTTAAAAAATACATTAAAATCTTAGTGATCAAAAGAATTTGACTTTTTTATTTCTGGTTTGCGTTGACATTAGTATATGTCTGTCTTTGTCACTGGCACCAAAGTTTTACTTTTGCATTTGTTTTGAACTCTGGTGTTTATTTTATGATCAACATCTCAACATTTGCAGGATTATTAATCCTCCGCTGAAGATCGTTTAGGTCAGTTAGACAAGTCGACCTCCATATTTAGACCATTTATAGACCGTTCATAGATGATTCAGATAACAGAAACAACATCTCAAACCTTACCCTAAATTTCCACGGAGTGCAGAACAGCGACAAAAAGGCCGTCAGTGCCAATCACAGCTGATCGTTTCCATTCAAATAAATGTGTCAGACTCCATTGGCTTATTTGCGGCCCCCTACTGTTCAGTGGGCTTCGTAGTTGATCAGCAGGGTACTATTTTTAACGATTTTTAGGTTTTGATAAATTCTTGATCAGGAGTTTTGTGGACTAAAGTATCAATCCGATGCAGGAAATACAAAACACTAAATGTATCTGTTATAACTGTAGACTTTATATTATTGCGATCATTAAAACTGTTGGAGCGGAGCGTGTCTGATGACCATGTCTTCATGTTTTCTGTCCTAAAACACTTTTAGATCGACATATAAACAAAATCCATCCCCACTTCATTGAGGAATCGTTTCTCACTAAACTAATCACTGAGTAAAACTTCAGTCAGCTTTAGATCCCAGTTCGTCGGCTGTTCTGGACTTGTGCTTTTGCGTTGAACTTGTATTATTTCTACATTTAAGGAGATCATTTGAGCTGTCGCGGATCGTCGTCCCTTTTCAGACACCGTACAAAAAAAACACGGCGAGCGAGACTAAAAACTGAACGCTTAAAACATCAGAAAATGGGATCGGTTGTATCGCGGCGCGTCGTTTTAACAAACTTGGCAGAGCGGCAGCAGCGTGTCGAGTCGACGGTGAACTCGTGAGCCAAATATAGAGACCGACTCCTCAAACCAGATCTGATTACTCCCACAACGTTGAATATTCCTGACATGATGATAGATTCTTCTTCCTGTCTTTCACAAACTCACATACACCTTGTTTGTGTGTGTGTTTGTGTGGTTTCAGGGTCGGTGCCGAGGGGACAGCGGGGGCATTAAAGTGGATCGATATCTGGCAGGCAGAGGGAGCCGACCATAATCTCCATCAGCCATGTAGGAAAGTACATTACTGCCACTACAAAGCCTATTAACAAAACCGCAGGTCATGAATTATTGAAGGGATGTTGGTTTTTATTCGACCCGTTCAAAGAGATGAAAAAAATAACAAACATAAATTATGCAGCTCCCCCACTCAAAATATTGTTTTTGTTTTTTGGTGCTTAATTAGATTCGTAGCCTGGGAGGCATCGTGGTGGACGTGGGGGTGTGTGTGAGTGTGTGTAAGTGTGTGTGTTGGGGTTACACTGTGATCACTCGGGAGAGGCTTTAGGGGGATATTGATCGGTGATAGGGATCTACGGGGAGCGATCCTGAGGGATATCACTCTGTAAACAAAGAGTCAGGGCGGAGAGGAGCTTCACCTCCGAATCGCAGATGAGCCGTCGACACCTCGGGCTCAAATCTGCACATCTGCATGTGTGTTTGTGTGTAATTTAGCAGCAAATTCACAACTCTGAAGGAACTCAAACCACTATGGGCTGCGCTGCTGCTGTGGGAAACAGAAAAAAAAAGACAACACTAAAATAATTGGAGACATGTGATGCCTCAGAATGAATAAATGCAGCTTTGTGCCTGCAGAGGAAGAGGTAAAAGAACTGATACACAGAAGTTTGGACTTTTTTAAAGTTATGAATAAAAGTCTTGGATTTATAACTTCATATGAAGAGGATAAACTTTTACAAGTCAAATATTTACGAAGGCTGGAGCTCTTATTAAGATAAAGTTCATCAAAGCTCAGCGTGAAAAGGTGCAGGTGTGGAGGAACTGTCGGTCCTGGTGTTTGGAGACCAACAGACCAGCTCTGATGTGGTCGACGGAGGATGAAACGAAAGATTAAGACAATTAAAGGCTCTGCACAGAGACGTCTTCAGGGTGAACTTTGATCATGTGAGTGAAATTTAGAGCAGGTCAAAAAACCTGCATGAAGGAGTTACATTAACTTCCTGTTTGATTTTTGATGTTCCAGTTTTTAGTAGAAATCTTGAAAATAAACTCTACCCCTCCCAACCAGTTTTCCCCTCAGCTCCTCCTCTCTGCTCCAGCAAGCCCCGCCCACAAACAGACGCTCCTGCTCGCTCGTATCGTTCCAATTAAATTCAGATATAATGCAGATAAATACTTCAGATCATTACAAATGGGGCCCAGTCAAGGTGAAAGTCAAAAGCATTGGTGCTACTGTAGATGCCAACAGACTACCAGCAAACACAATGTTTGCAGGACTTCTACAACGAGGATAAAGTGACATAGTCCAGGACCCGAGGGAGGACAGTTTAGCGATGGCGCTACAACACGCTACAGCAGGTCCGTTTGACAAGAAACACTTCTGTTACAGACACTTGTCTTACTTTGTTAAAGCGGTTTACCTGTCCAGCAGAAAGGTTACAGGGTCACCAAGATCCCCAAGCGTCCCCCATCGTTTATGTTGACCCGGCTTTTTAGCTCTTGTCCGGTCTACCTCCGTTTTAAGCGCCCGTTATTCCTCCAGAGTCTCCGGTATTTACTTTGTTTTCTTGCTTGTGTCGGCAGTCGTGGCCAAAGGAGGATTCAGACAATTTTCCAAACTTTCTGGTTGGTTTCTACTGTCCGATATTGTAGCACGCTAACTTTGTTTGGGCTCCTGAACGACACGGGGGAGCAGCGTCTGCCTCACAACCAATCAGGTTAGAGGAGGTGGAGAACGGCTTTGTTTACAGTCAGAAAGAGCGGACCGCTCAAAAATGTTCAGATGTTGACGACACAGACATAAGAGAACACAGAGATATCGATATATTACCAAATGTCATCAATAACTAATAACTATTGACTGATATTAAAAAAATTTTTCATTAAAACCGCAAAATAAAAAGATGCTTCTTTAACAGATTCCTGTCTACCCCACCTTTAAGTGTCACATAGTAGAAATGTGGAGTTATACCACATTAATGTGTATTTATATGATATATTAATCAGTAAAATTAAACACAATTATTATGTTAGTCTTAATGTGTTTGTACAATAGGAAGTTTTTATTGTCCTGATGCAAATCCAGATTTTGACTTTTCACAAACCACTGTATGTTTTTTTTAGTAAGTATGACACTTTGATTTGCTTTAATAGATAATTTTTCACTTTAATTTGTCAATTAAACCCTTAATTATTAATAATAAGTACTCTAGCTGTAGTTGTACCTCAAGAAAGTCTTCAAACTGTTTTTCTTACATGGTCTTGAACCAGATCTCCTCCACCTGGCTGTGCCCCCTCCTCTCCTCCTGATGGGGTCACTGGGGGATGAGAGTTACCGACTGTAAACAGCTTCTTCTTCTTCTTCTTCTTCTTCTTCTTCTTCTTCTTCTCTGACTGAGGAGACAGAGCTTCTCCTGCAGCCGCCGCCGCTGATCTCATCCTGTGATGCTTCATTACTCGAAGCGTCCGCTCTGACCCCAGCTGTTGTTTAACCGGCAGACAGAGCGAGGCCAGACGAGAAGGTCCAGACGTAACCCACATATATGACACACACACACGCACACACACACACACACACACACACACACACACACACAAAGGCAGCGTGTCTGAGATAATAACCAGCGCTCCGGCTCAGACTGTGGGCAGGTTTGTCAGCTGGAGTCAGCAGTTTGTGTTTCCAGCTGCAGCTCTGTCTCTGCTCCGATGAAATCATGTTCGGAGATACTTTCCTCCAGTGAGCAGATACTCAACTATAAAACAGACCGGGCGACAGTAGATCTACGATTTTACACTGAACTACTCATGATGCAATTCAGGGAAAGACGGCAATTCACCAATTTATTGTAGCCCACCACCAGAGCTACTGTGTTACCGGTCCTGAGTGTTTTCCAGCTTCGCACAGTTTGCTTCCTTCTCACACCATCGTCATCAATTAAACTTAAAGGTTTGGAAGGCAGGAATCCGTTAAAGAAGTATCTTTTTTTGTGGTGTATTTACAAAAAATCTTTAAATATCAGTTAATAGTTATTAGTTATTGATGACATTTGGTAATATAACGATATCTCTGTGTTCTCTTATGTCTGTGTCGTCAACATTTTGACATTTTTGAGCGGTCCGCTCTTTCTGACTGTAAACAAAGCCGTTCTCCACCTCCTAAGGCGAAACGTCTCAAGTAAGTCCAGTTGTCCTTTCAATGAAGAATTGGAAATCAAAGATGCTGCATCCTCGGTTTTAAAGAGTAGAAGGTCCACTAGGCTTGTTCTTACCCCCATGGATGAGGAGATGCTGATTCTAGAGGTCTAGAAGTAGATTTCCTCCTCTGGAAGGACACAATCTACTGCTTATATGGTTAACCTCTATGGCGAGAGACAACTTGTTATCGCACGGTTGCACGTGAATCCGCGGGTTCTTCTGAGTTCTCACGATTCCTGCCACAAAATTCACCTCAAAACGGATCTGGTAGGAATTGGCGGACAAAAAAATTGCCGCCGTTCCAGATCGGAGTCGTTCTGGATGCGGTGAAAATTAGGGGCAAGACCCTCAACCACCAGGCGTTCACCACATGACCAACCTGATCTTCACCTGGTCTGTTCTTTGACTCCAGTGACGTGGTTTTGTGTCGGTGTACAGACTGAAAACTTTATTTTGAAGTTCTGGCTGACCTCTGCTCTCGTTGTATAATTTCTCTGTTATATATTCTGTAAAACTAAATTATATAAGAAATAAATATTGAGCAGCTGGATTTGATCCAGAAGTTTTTGAAGCCTTAAACACAGGGCACTTATTTCTGCATCCTTTAGTGGCCTTCCTCGGCCCTCGTTGGTCTTCTTTGGCCTTCCTCGGCCCTCGTTGGCCTCCGTCTCACCAGTTCACCAAAACAACATCACTTTCTGTTTGGCGTTAGTTTGTCTCTCACTCGTTCTCATTACAGCTTTAATTCCTCTGTGAGTTTACTGCCGTTGACCCGTCGACCTCTCACGGCCGCTAATGTCTCCCTTTGTTTACATAAACAGCCGCCATCTTTTCCTCCTCCTCCTCCTCCTCCTCCTCCTCTTCCTCCTCCTGCAGCTTCACACCAACCATCAGTGAACCTGAGGGACAGGTGAGGCGAACAGGAGGAGTGATTCATTAACCAGAGCTGAAGTTTACAAGCTGCACTCTGCAGCATAAATATTCATCGTCATCTCGGAGAAATCAATAGGGCAGAACAAAAGTTTATGATATTAAAGTATTACAATATTAATGTGTGGGCGAGAGCACTTTAGACAAACTAAACGCTCCTCCTCCCCCCTCCTCTGCCTCCTCCTGCTCCTCCTCGCCATTATGCATGCTGGGAGATCAGATTTCATGACCTCTACCATCCGATGGGACCCTGTCTCTGCTTTGGGGAGCAGATAAGCCCGGATGATCCGCAACAATAAATAAATCTGTGAACAGGCTGGAGAGCCCCGATGGCTCCCTCCCTCCCTCCCTCTCTAATCTTTGCAATTTGCCATGGCTGATAAAATTTTAATGAGGAATAAGCATAATGGGAGCCTCAGAGAGATTACAGTAAACTGGGAGAGAGACGAGTCGGACGGATGAAGATGGAGGAACCAGAATCAGGATGCAGATCAGGGTCCCCCCTGAGAGGAGGTGGGATACACCAAATACAGATGGCTGAACGGGGTTTTCATTTTCTTTAAACTCCTCTGCTAAAACAAGATGCTGCAAAAGGAGACTCAACTGAGGATATTTTTCTGTAAAATTTCTGATTTTTTAACGAACTTTAATGATTGAAAAAGTTTGGAAACCTTCAACGTTCTCATCCATCCATTTTCTTATCCTCACCGGGGATCGGATCGTGTTGGCCAAGAAAGTCGACCCCGGAGTCCCTCCCTCCGCCAACGCTTTCCAGCTCCCCCCAAAGAGATCCTGAGCTCTTCCCACACCAGATGGGATGTCTAAACCCTCTAGCTTTCTCTGAGACCTCCAGAAAACCTTTGAAAGAGAGCATCCAGAAGGCATCCTGATCAGACGCTCGGACTATTCGAGGGGTCAACAGCTCTTCTCTTTTTGGCCACCTGCGTCTACACTCTCATCCGTTCTCAAACCCAAACATTGTGACCGTTGGTGGAGAACATATCGAACTTCTCCCTTCTCTCTTGTGCCACTTTGCGCTCGACTTTAATCCACCACAAAGTCTTAAAAATGTCCAGAGAGTCTTTGATTTGTCCTCGTTTACCTCTTTGGGTCTCAGTGAAATAAAGATCTCTCCAACTGGACTGACCTGAAAACAAATCACACTTATTTTGTTCAAGGATCAATAATTCATGGCGCAGTTTTCATCACGTTGGATACGAAGGTCCACCGACAGGATTCAGTAACAGTAGATATTGCATATTATTAGGGTATGATTTCTAATAAACTGAAAGCAGCGTGAAATCCTTGGGCTGATTGTGGGAACTTTCAGGAACGCGATCATTATCAGCAATTATGCAACATCATGCAACATTTTGAAACAAGCATGTGCGGCTGTTGATTTCCCCGATCAATCAGCATGGTGAAAAGAAGATGGAAGATGGTGCAAGACAGTGTTATCATGCTGTTTCCAAGTCGCTGTCATGAGTCATTAGACGTAAAGTCCAGAAACTGTCTCCGCTAATGATGCACATCATCGGTTATGTGTGTGTGTGACATCCTTCAGAACGGACCGGTCGTGTGGTTCTGATCCGATATACAAAGGAGACGAGGGATGAAGCGTTAGGGGGGACTTTGAATTTGCACGTCTGCTGCAGGATCTCAGGTGTAGGAGTGCAGTTTATTTTAGGTTTCTAATGACTTCACTCTGGATCTGAACTGAAAAGATGATGTTCAAATTATCAACAACAACAACCAAAGTGTCATCAGGATGTGAATTCGCTGACGAGTGTCATGAAAATTTGTTGTCCCGACTCAAAATAATGGAGGAAATCTAGACGCTGAGGCAACTGACTGCAAATCCAGTATGAATTTTTCAACAGATAGATTATTAAAAACAGTCTGGTCTGGTCTCCGAAGTTTACATGCTGTAGATTTGAGATTTCAAAGATTAAAAAAATCAAACTTTTAAATTTGAAGAATCTTTAACTTTTATACTGATATCTGACAACACCAGGAGCTTCTTTCCATGGAGTACACAGATAAATAAAACAAGACAATAAAAAACACTCTTTGAATTCATAAACACTGTGGACAAACTTTAAATAACAAACATCAAATCTGATTTTAATCAAAATACAACAAGGACGTTTCTGCCGATCATAGCTGGTTGTGTACGATCTTCTAAAAGTCGAGTTTATACGATCATTAAGTCCACGAATAAAAGGTCCAAAGTTCTGATAGAGATGGTCCTGATTATTAAGGCGTTAAAAACAGACAGGACTCTGAAGTGGGAATCACCGCATGGAAAGGACAACTGGACTTAGGCGAAACGTCTCAAGTAAGTCCAGTTGTCCATACAATGAAGAATTGGAAATCATAGATGCTGCATCCTCAGTTTCAGAGAGTAGAAGGTCCACCAGGCTTGTTCTTACCCCCAATTTCCACCTTTATCCTAAACGGCTACTAAAAGGTCGTATCCTCCGATCGTAGCTGATCGTAACCATTCAAGTTAACGTGTCGATTACCACCGGCTTCTTTCTGTTCTGCTGCGGCTCGCAAGAGTTCTATTTCTCCCGGATAAATTCAACACAGATTAACCCGTGCTGGAAAGGAAGTCGGGCACAGACAAAAAATAAAACATCTGGCTTCTTTTCAAAATAAAATCACTTGTAGAACCAACAAAATTCAATCACGACAAA